TATATTTTATTTAAACAACCATCAAATATTAGTTAGTGTAACTTATTAGGGTAAGCAACATTTTTTCAATGCAAACATTTAAGGTGTAGTTACCTTGAAACATTTTGACCTTCCCAAATTGCAAAATAATGATAGGATTTGAACATTTTCAAAGGTAAGGAATGCATTTAGTTTATCAACATATTATTCAAATAACGTATACTCTACTCTAAATTTGTTATGGCAAAACAAGATGTGGTTAAAAATACTTAGTTGTAAGAGAAAAAGTAACTATTATCGATCAAAATATATGTTGTATGTATCTTTCCCATCAACTTCTATGAATATGATGTTAAGCTTTTTGCATTTTTAGTTTTCTCCAACTTTCTTTCAAAACCAGGACTTGTTAGCATGCCCATTATACCTGTTAAAGAGGCATGTTGTTCCCATTCACTTTGCTCACATCATCCCACAACTTCATATATTTTAAAACAACCACAATCATAACTACACAATTGAATGTAGTTATTACACACATTACATACAATATTTTGCAACAAAATTTTCTACTATAAGAACATATTAACATGTTTGGTTGAATTAGCAAGTCCTCCTTTGTAACCTTAAGTTCTCCAATGGTACTCGATGACTTTGTTTCCAACAACAACAATAGATGCTCAAAACGTTGCATCTGTTCACAATATTACATTATTAGCCAAATAAACATAGCTCTGAATTAATTATAATTACTTACGTAAACAACAACTTAAAACAAATTTTTATCATAACTCTATCAATTGATTTTCGTGATCTATTATCATGTATCAATGAATCCAATATAAACAGCTCTTTATCCTTACACTTCAACACATAACACCACCAATGACCATTGTGTACAGTGGGAGCAAAAATCTAAAATAGAAAAAACTCTAGTTAATTGAATTTTAACTTGACAAAAATATAAATTTTAGGCAAAGTATAAATACTCACAAATTCACAACTCAATAATTGTTGCAATGGAATAATTGCATTTGGATAGAAAAGTGAGTAGTCTTTCATTGTCCACGTTGGTGCTTTACCTTTGCGAATATACATTTGTTCAATCACATGTGTCTATCAAAAGGCACAAAAATAAATCACAATCAATCATAATATACCTATGTGCAACGTAACTTTTTAAATGCACAATAAACATACCGCAAACAAAGGATTGAAACAAAAATGTTGTATGTTGCCACCAATGACATTCATTTGGTCATACATCATTACACTACTTGCAAACAGCATCACCTAACAACCAGTGGCGGATCTTCTTGGGAGCTGAGGAGGGCCATGACCCCTCCAAAGTTTTGTAACTCCTATGTAATTTATGATTTTGGCCCCCACAAACTTAATGAACATTTAATATATTTACTTGTATATTTACAATTTTATCCTCTCAGCTCCTCCTCAGTTTTGTAACTCTCATATAATTTATGATTTTGTCCCCCACAAACTTAATGATCATTTAATATATTTAAGTATATATCTATAATTTTATCCTTTCACCTTTTCATCTTCTTTCTTTCTTTTATATTTATTTATTATTTATTAATAATATATTATTTGGCCCCCCAAGATCAATGGTCAAGATCTGCCACTACTAACAACCCATATGATATTAATAAATATAACTTTTAAAAATATATTGAATCACACTTTCATTAAATAAGCAAACTTACCATATTGTCAATATGACCCCTTAGCTTTAATGTCTGCAAGTTCTGCATGGTCAATATCTGTCCATGCACTTCCACTATAACACTGGAATACAAGAATGAATGACATTGCTAATTATACTAAATAAATTGAATGAATCAAATAAATTTGATTATATACTAACCAGTTTGGATTATCAAGGTTGGTGGTGCAAAACGTATACAATTGATACATGTCATCATCCCCACCAATCCCCTTCGCCTTTATCAATGACTTATTCATGTGAATCCTAATTTGTTCTTTCAAAATTTTTACCTCACGTTCAAGTTGGATGATCATTTTTTCATTTTCTTCTGTTTTACATCTTCATGTACGTTGCTCAGATAAAAGTTATTGCAAGTCACACGAGGCACCACTGGAGGAAGGTATGTCTGCATTCTCATTATGTGAATGCGTCAAAGCTTCTTGCACAACTTTCATTGTCTGATCTTCCACAGACAATGCCCAATCTCATACAATCTACCAAAAGGAAGACTTTATATGTTAGCAACAGAATATAATAAGTCCACATTTTAAAGAAAAATTAATATATGTTGTACACAATATTTCTTACATTATTTGAAATGAATGCACATTCTATTTTGGACCTTCGAATGTTCACTTTCGGCCATTCAAGAAAATGCGGAAAACAGATCTTTCGTGGTGGATCAGTAGGCAAAGATAGGTGCTCCACTGCCCAGATCTATTACACAATACAATGTCATCAGTCACAATAATTTCATACCAACTAATAAATCATTCATTTGTAAGAACTGTAGCATCATTAGGTACGAAAATTACCTGTAAGACAGCGACACAACTAGCAATGTACAATTGAGAAACATTCTTTTGCTTGTTTAACTTTGTACTAGCATGATGCAAACTGTTAACTAATACACCATGCACAACATTTTCCCAATTGTAATCATCTAATGCCTCCAAATCATCTAATAAACTAAAAAGAACACTATGAATAGTGCGGGATGTGCGAGGAAAGTAAAAAATTGTCCACCCAAGTAAGACATAAAACCTACAAAAGTCAACTACATATTTATCATGCTTAAATTTTTTTTCTTTCAGCTTCATAATTTTGTTTGTTACTATTATTTGTTATTCTTCGTCGAATAAATCTTTTACTAAACATAAACCATTATCTTCTAAACACAACTACCTCCCCCTTATATGTAAACCTAACGAAAAATAAACATCTAAAGGGGTGAATGAGACAAGATATTGTTTTATTCTAAAACAATGATCACTAACTGACCATCGAATAATTAGTTCTCTTATAACATTGTTAGATATTTGCAATGACTCTTTTATTTGAATAAGTCATTTAAACGGGATTTCTTCAATAACTGCTCGTTGGTGTGTAGTCAACTTTGAATTTATACCAGCTATATACTCTGTCTCAACCTTGTGTCTTAATCTTATCTGCACATATAATATGTATAACATATATAACATACATAACATATAAAAAATTAAATATTTAGTAAATCACTTTTCATAAAATAACTATAATTAACATGCACATACCTTTTTCTTGACACAACGGTTTCTTTTTGCAGACATTTTTTCCCAAACTAATCCTGTTACAAATTATTAAAATTAAACTTACAATGACAAAATACTAAAAAAAAAAATATAAGTACAAGCATGTTACACATATAATTTTGCTTAAATTGTGTATTATACAAGCATGGGCGTAAATCTTGGGCGTATTATACAAACTTTCCTATTATACACTAACATAGACAATGCTCTACAATTACTACAAGCATGTTACACATATAATGTTTTCTCAACTAGTTACTATTAAAAGACATTCTTCATGTTTCTGATGTCAGTATACTTCTTCATTGTAGCATTTCATCAGTTAACACTTTTTGAACATTAATATAGTATCACAACTCAAGTAACCCTAAACCGTGAAGAACACTTTCATTACAAACCCAATCAAAGATAAATACAAAAGAAAGCAACAATGGAAACTCAATCAAAGATAAATAGAAAAGAAAGCAATAATGGAAACCCAATCAAAGATAAACAGAAAAGAAAGCAACAATGGAGTAACAATAACACTCACCGCAGGGGTTGCTTGAGCAAGAGATAGTGATCTTCAGTGAGACACAGGTCCAACGAGACGGAGGTCCAACGGGAGGAAGACAAGTGAGAGGAAGGGAATCCTAGGTCGAGCGAGGTCGAATAAGAGGAAGGGACTATAAACATATATCTCACTTTTTACAAATTCATCCCTCTATTTTAATAATATTGCATCTCTAACTCTTATAATTTACTAATGAAACCCTAATTTTCAATTAATTTATTGCATCTCTAACTCTTATAATTTATTAATGAAACCCTAATTTTCAATTAATTTACGTTTTTCCCCCAAAGTATCATTTTCAAAAGAAAAAAATGCATTGATAAGGTAGAGTTCATATAAATGATACTAAACCCCAGTAAAAATAATGTTAGATGTACTTATTAATCTGTGTTAAATGTTGGTCCAGTAATAATAATTGAGATCAATATATATTCATCCTATAAAATATAACATTAGAATTGACTAAAGTTATTTTAATTTCAAATTAAAAGTTAATTTTATAGATGCGATGGGAAGATGAGATGTAATTGATTAACAGGAACGAGACTAGATAGTGAAATAATCGAGTGCAAGAGGAAAGAATAAAGTGAGATTTATGCAAATAATAATAAATAAAATAAAAGAGTGATAATTTTATAAATTAATATTTGTTTTTTCCAGTGCAATTCTTCCGTTTAACTTTATTCAATATTACAATTGAAAAAAAGAATAAAGAATCTATTTTGGTAGATTTTCCATTCCTCCCCTCTCCAATGTTTCTCTTACAAAATGTAAATATGACTCAACATTTTTTTAATGGTTAAACGAGTTATATAATATAATAAAAACAATTATTTCTTATTTGTCAAAGAAAAATAAAAGAGAGTAAAACCAAAATCACTTATTTTACACAATATTAAAATATTTTTTTATTATTTAGCTCATTTCATATTTTATATTTACTAAAGTATATTTAAATTTAAAATTATTTAGGAATACTAGTTAGAATTGTATCGACTGCTGCTCTTATTTGTGAGTGTGAGGCAGATTATTTGAGAGGGAATAAACCTTTATTTAACTAGAGTTTCTTCATGATATAAATATCAATATAAATATCAATTTTCAAACAACAATTCATTTCTTGCAAACATTTCAAAGCCAAGCAGCTTCCAATTTCCTGCAACACCCCTAAAAAATGGCCGTTACCTTCTCAAATCTCTACACAGACTCAGGCCTCAAGTCCCTCAACGACTTCCTCTCGGCGAAGACCTACGTTTCTGGGTAACTCACTGTTGCCCTCTCATTTTTTTGTTCCACCCCTTCATTTCTAAATGAAAATTAATTTTAATCTTTAGCAACTATTTTCATGTTTCTTGCTCACTCTCCTTGTGGGCGTCTCTGGGTTTTCAGGGATCAGTTCACAAAGGACGACATAAAAGTGTACGCTGCCGTTTTGGAGAAGCCGAGTGACGCTTTCCCCAGTGTTGGCAAGTGGTACGAGGTTGTCTCATCTCACCTTGCTGCAAGGTTTGTTCTTTTGCACATGATTGCAATTGGGTGTTTTTGTTTTGATCCTTTTGAGATTGTAAATTGGGGTTTTATTTGTGTTTGTTATTGTGCAATCCTTTTTGTTTTTTTATAATTATGTTTGCTTTTCGGGTGTGAAGCTTCCCTGGCAATGCTCAAGGGGTGAGATTCAGTGGCAAAACTTCTGCTCCAGCTGAGGCTGCACCTGCAAAACCGGTGTGCATATGCTTTATTTTGATTCAAGTTACTTTATATTTATAGTGTGTAGTATTTTAATTTTGCAAATGTAAATAATTTAGTTATTTGAGGCAATTTTTTGTTTTAGTAAATGAAAGGTAGAACTTGATTATGTTTTCATGTTCATATATTAGGTATAATTAGACTCTGAGGGTAATGCGTACACTATAATTCACCTTCTCGCAGCATAGGTCCATAAGTCATTACTAAGATTAAATTATGGACATTGTGGTGTTGTTCAGTTGTTTCTTAGAGACAGTTCCCTTGAAGCTTAGGGTAGAATTCAGTGGTGTGAACGTGTGCATAGTGAGTTTGGAAAATTCTCAACCTCCATTTTGTCGAGGCACATGTTTCTGATGTGGCCTATAGGACTTTGAGACTATGATAATTTAATGTTTCTCATCATATCCTGGATTTCGGGGGGTATGTTTGAAAGTTGAAAATGGATTAAACATCAAGTTCTTTATTTGTTATGTGCCCTATCCTGCTTGGCGTGATAAAAAGTTTGAGTGAGGAGAGAAATGGTGGGGAGTGGAAATACTTAAAATATCATGTTGAATAAAGTGAGAGTGGAGAATGTGGACTTTAAATTATTCCACTCATTGCTCAAAAGTTCCCCAGACATTGGTTTGCACCATAAAGCCACCTCACTTTATGACTTGGATGATAGATTACTGTTGTTTTAGTACTTTTATCTAGGCTTATTAGCTAATTACCTGAAGTCTTCAACATGGTTTGTTACTGAGGTTCTATTTGAATTTGCCAGGATGCTTCTCCTGCTGAAGATGCTGATGACCTTGATCTCTTTAGTGATGAGACAGAGGAAGACAAAAAGGCCGCAGAGGATAGGGAGGCTGCAAAGAAGTCTGCCAAGAAGAAAGAGAGTGAGTTGTCTTTTTAACTCTTGACTTAAATTTTTACTGAATGTAAGAGCATCCCTGAATGTGTTAGCAATCAAACCACAACCCATTTGACTAATGCAAGGCCTAAAAGGATTACTACCACACCAACCTATCTGAAGGATTACATCCCATAGAGCTCACTATGTCAGCATGGGTATGTTTCTAGAAGTGCCAAGTCACGCTATTTCTTTGCATAGAATAATTTAGTATTAGAATTGGTAGATTGTTATTTGCGTTTTGTAGATTCCTTTTGCCTACAAATCAAGAGGGCCCTCTGATTGTAACTAATTTGGATTTGCATGGCTATACATAGCCTTTCGAAGGAATGAAAAGAGAAGGCTGGAAATCAAATATCTGTTTCATCTCTCCTATCAATTCTCAGGGGTTCCCTTAGCCATCAATTAAGGAAGAAAACACGTAACAATTTGGTGCTTTCATTGAGAGCCCTTTCCTTCATGGCCAACCACCATACTAATGCCGAACGCTTGGATGATTTGACCCTCAAAGTTGATTCTATCCTAGAACAACTTTCCCTTTTGATGGTTCGGCCACCCTCACCACTGCACATTTCCCCTTCAAACCACAACTCCCCTGACGGTTTTCGTCGCCCACACATGAAACTCGAAGTTCCACGGTTTGATGGGAATGATGCCCTTGGTTGGATCTTCAAAATTTCTCAAGTTTTTGATTACCACAATACACCGGAACAGGAACGCCTTCAGGTAGCCTCTTTATATATGGACGGACCAACTCTCAGTTGGTACTAGTGGATGTACCGGAATAACCAGATCTAGACTTGGTTCGGGTTCCTCTGTGCCTTGGAAACACGTTTCGCTCCATCACTTTGTGAAGAACCTTCTAGTGCTCTATTCAAGCTCACACAGAAGGGAACAATCCAATAATATCTCACGGAGTTTGAATGCCTGGTCAATCGCATAGTTGGTTTACCTGCCCCATTTGCCCTGAACTATTTCATTTGTAGCCTCACCGGAAATCTGCCGCGAGGTTCAGGCTCTCCGCCCTGCCTCTCTAGATAACGTGACCCTTCTTGCTAAGCTGCAAGAAGACAAAATTGAGGAACAAGGACGTTCTTTCTGCCCCAAACCCCAAGTTCTGACACCAAGTTAACATATTGCTTCCCTAGCTGCCACTACCTCACCCCCACTCCTATTGGCACCCCAACCCCGTATCAACTTTTGCCGCCTCAGCCTAGACGACATGGATTCCTGTCGTGAAAAGGTCTTTTGCTATAATTGTGAGGAGCTATTCACCCCGTTCCACTGTTGCAAGGGAAAATTTTTCCTCTTAACTACCAACGACCCTATCGCTAAAGATTTCACACCTGATCCTACTTGGCCCCTAGTCCCACCTCCTCTAGAGCCCGTTTTCGACAAAACCCCTTCCCAAGTCAGCCTCCATGCCTTCACTGGCGGTGTTGGTTCATCCACCATACACCTCTAAGGGCAAATCGACAACAATCCTGTTTCCATTCTCGTGGACTGTGGCAGTGACCACAATTTTGTTCAAGATCAGGTAGCCAAATTCCTAGATCTCCCTTCAATCCCTTACAATCCCTTGACCGTTATGGTTGGTAGTGGCAACCTCTTGCGATCTGATCGCCTCTGCCCTGATGTCGAAATCAAAATTCATGAGCACACCCTCGATGTTAATCTTTACACCCTTCCTTTGAGAGGTGCCGACATTGTCTTGGGCGTGCCCTGGCTTAAGTCTATTGGGCCTGTCCTCATGGACTACACCCAACTCACGATTTCATTTACCTACTAAGGCAAACCAATCACATTATGGGGGATCCAACACAACTGACCCGACCCAATGTCCAGCCCACAACTTAAGAGGTGCAACCAAACTAATAGTGCATAAGAACTTTTCTCCATAGAAGTCCTGCCCCTAACTGATCCAACCCCCACCAAACCCCCACCCAACACCACAACCCTACCCCGAACATCACAACACTTCTTTGCTTCGATACCCTCTTCCAACCCTCACCATCACTACCCCCCTCTTGCCCAACCAACCACTGTATCCACCTCTTCCCTAATTCCACACCGGTCAACATCAAGCCCTATCATTGCCCCCATTCCTAGAAATGTGAACTCGAAAAACAAGTCAAAGAATTGCTCGACAAGTCCATGATCCTAACAAGTAGGAGTCCGTTTTCTTCACCTGGTTCGCAAGAAAGACAGGTCTTGGCGTTGTTGTGTAGATTGAAGGGCTCTTAGTGCCTTCACTGTCCGTGACCTCTTCTCGATGCCTACCATTGATGAGTTGTTGGACGAGCTTGGTGGTGCAACTTGGTTTTCCAAGCTCGATCTTCGACAAGGCATTCACCAGATATCGCTAAGACTGCCTTTCGTACCCACCAGGGACATTATGAGTACCGAGTAATGTCGTTTGGTCTCTGTAACGCTCCCTCAACATTCCAGGCTACCATGAATACCCTCCTCGGCCCCTTTCTCCGTCGTTTTGTTGTATTCTTCGACTATATCCTTATTTATAGTCCATCTCTTTCACAACATGTTTCCCATTTGGAACAGGTATTTCAATGTTTGACAGTCAGTTTTATCTCAAACTTTCTAATGCTTATTTGCACAAAGGCAATTGGAATAACTAGGCCATATCATTTCCACTGTTGGGGTTCAACTTGACCCTTCCAAGATTCAAGCAGTGCTGACTTGGCCTCCTCCTGCCAATGTCAAGGCTCTCTGTAGCTTCCTCGGCCTTACTAGTTTTTATCGAACGTTCGTCAAAGGATATGCCACTATGGCCTCCCCTCTTATGACTCTCCTCCGCAAGGATGCCTTTGCCTGGACTCCGAAAGCTCAACATGCATTTACCGCTCTAAAGCAAGCTATGACCCGGGCTCCCATACTCGCCTTGCCAGATTTCTCTATACACTTCACTGTTGATACAGACGCATCTAAAACAACTATGGGTGCCGTTCTATTGCAACACAATCAGCCAGTGGCATTTTTTAGTAAACCATTCAGCCCCAAACTTCTACATTCATCCACTTATGTCAGGGAACTACATGCCATTACTTCAGCCATCAAGAAATGGCGCCAATACCTTTTGGGGTACCCATTTGTTATCAATACTGATCATACGAGCCTCAAAGATTTTGTCCCAGGTTATCTAGACTCCGAAATAACAACATTATCTCTCTAAGCTACTAAGGTATGAGTACACGATCCATTACAAACCAGGCCCTCACAATGTTGTTGTGGATGGCCTCTCTTGACTCCCGGATGTTTCCTCTGGTATATGTTATGCCCTTTCCATGCCTAATTTCATTTTTATGGATCAATTGAGACGACGCTAGTTCTGCATACGATACATTTCTTTTACGTACTCAAATTGACCCTGACTATAAGTTGCATAATGGATTGATTTTATTCAAAAGTCGTTTATGGTTGGATCCTGGTAATACCTTCCGTCTCAAGCTTATTGATGAATACCACGGTACTCCAATTGGTGGCCACATGGGCATAACCAAAACTGTTGCTCGATTGTTGGCAAATTTTTGTTGGGATGGACTCTGTAAAGATGTTAAACTTTTCATCCAACAATGTTCTATCTACCAACAAGTGAAGTCTGATACACACAAACCAGCTGGTCTTTTGCAACCTTTGTCTGTACCTACGGCTGTATGGGAAGATTTGTCCCTTGATTTTATCATTGGCTTACCATCTTCTCAAGGCTTTATGGTTATTTTGGTCATTATAGATCGATTCTCTAAGGGAGTTCATTTGGCACCATTACCAACACAATATTCTGCTTCTAAGGTGGCCCAACTATTTCTTGATATTATCTGCAAATATCATGGCATACCACACAGTCTCGTATCTGACCGCAACCCTATCTTCATTAGTAAGTTTTAGCGCACATTGTTTCGCTTGGGTGGTACTAGACTCCGCATGAGTACATTATATCACCCAAAGACGGATGGACAAACGGAGGTCTTTAACCGAGTTTTGGAGCAATACCTCCGTTCTTTTGTCCACTCCAATCCCTACCAGTGGTCCAAGTACTTAGCTTTGGCTGAATGGTCTTATAACACTTCTACTCACTCTTCCATCGGGTATTCACCCTTCCATATCATTTACGACAAACCTGCTCCATCTATCCCTCATTACTTAATGGGTTCATCCTCCGTGGAAGCTGTGGATACCTTATTGGCATCACGCCAAACACTATTAGCACAATTGCAGCGAAAACTCCTCAAAGCTTAGGCCACAATGAAGCATTATGCCGATACCAAACGCCATGATGTCTTATGATGTGGGTGATTTGGTTTATGTCCGTCTGAGGCCATATCGGCAACGGTCCCTCTCTGGTTCCACTTATCACAAACTTTCCAAGAGGTTTTATGGACCTTACAAAATACTTGCCCGAATCGGTACGATTGCTTATCAATTGGATTTACCACCTAAGTCCAAAATTCACCCTGTCTTTCACTGTCCATTGCTGAAATGTCATCATGGCCCTGCCTCGGACCCCACTCCATTTCCTTTGGAGGCTTTCAACCACTATCCAATAATTCGCCCCTTGGTAATTTTGGCTACTCGCATGGACAACTCAGAAAATCCCCAAACCAAAATGGTCCTTGGTCAATGGTTTGGACTATCACCAGGTGATACTAGTTGGGAAGAATGGGCACAACTCAATTTCGATTATCACCTTGAGGACAAGGTGATTTTTCCAGAAGTAGACATTGTTAGCAATCAGACCACACCCATTTGACTAATGTAAGGCCCAAAAGGATTACTACCACACCAACCTATCTGAAGGATTACATCTCATAGAGCTCACTATGTCAGCATGTTTCTAGAAGTGCTAAGTCACGCTATTTCTTTGCATAGAATAATTTAGTTATTAGAATTGGTAGATTGTTATTTCCGTTTCGTAGATTCTTTTTGCCTACAAATCAGGAGGGCCCTCATATTGAAACTAATTTGGATTTGCATGACATAGTCTTTCGAAGGAATGAAAAGAGAAGGCTAGAAATCAAATATCTGTTTCATCTCTCCTATCAATTCTCAGGGGTTCCTTAGCCATCAATTAAGGAAGAAAACACATAACAGAATGCATATAATTCATATCATTGTGTGCTATCTGTGAGCTAGTGGTAATAATATTTAGTATATGGTGAATTTGCATTATTTTGTATGCTCCTTTTTCTTGCTTTCTTTACCAAAAGGCTTAAAAAACTATCAACAATTGGTGTTTTTAGGTGGAAAATCTTCTGTTCTGCTCGATGTTAAGCCTTGGGATGATGAGACAGACATGAAGAAGCTAGAAGAGGCTGTTCGAAGTGTTGAGATTCCCGGTTTATTGTGGGGAGCATGTATGTTAAACTTTAGTTTTTCTCTTAAATGTCCAAGTGTTTACCTCCCAAAGGTTATGATGTGAACAAAATGTTTTCTTGATGTTGATGCAGCCAAACTGGTTCCTGTTGGTTATGGGATCAAGAAGTTGCAGATCATGTTAACCATTGTTGACGACCTTGTTTCTGTGGACTCCCTTATTGAGGAGCAACTGACAGTTGAGCCCATAAATGAGTATGTTCAAAGTTGTGACATAGTTGCATTCAACAAAATTTAAGTTTTCTTAGTGTCGCCATTTTGAAGCGGATGGTTAGCCTGTTTTTCTTTGTTAAGTCTCACCCACTTCCTTCTTAATCAATCATGTCTAGTTTGTGTTTCAGTGGTGGTTTTTTATTACTAGAATTCTGTGTGAAGCAATAGAAATATATATTAATATCTATGTTCTGGTGTTCCATCAATGTTATTCTTTCTTGAAAAACTATTGTTAGGTGTGTGGGATTAACATTAATGAGGGGTGGCAGCACCCGGGGAAAGAAAGTGAAAGCCTCTTAAGATTTAGTTTTCAATTAATTTTAATCAATAATAGAATATCTTAGTGAGTGTTTTGTTAGCATTTTTATGACTATTACAATAAAGAATAGCTAATGTATTTGAACTGAGAGTAGATTAGCTTCAGCATAAAAGCTAAATAAAGCTCAAGAGGGAGGAGGACCAATAAGTATTGTTCCAGTCACTGAAAGATAAAACTGCATAATTTGATTTATTTATATTTTTACTAGCAATCTGTTCCCTTTTTAATACGATTTTATTAATACTTGTAAAATTGTTATTATGTTTTTACTTTTCTTATTTAAGAATCAACTAAAAAAATCTGAAAACATGTGGATAGTTTGACCATTTAAAGAACTTTTAATTAATAAAATAATATTTATAACTAGGAACCCTGAAACAAACAAGATGATAAAAATTTGTAACTAGGAAATCTGAAACAGTTAAGGTGAGAGAGATCTTAACACATTCTGCCAAAGCATGCCCATTGTATGAAGGAGTTTCATTTTGTTGTTTTCATACAAATCTTTGTTAAATGGAATGCATTCTTGGATAATCCGATGTTTGCTTGTGTTGCTTGCTAAGTGTTAGATATGATTAGATATTAGTTGATATTATTTGATATTGTTGAGATATTGTTAGATATTGTTAATCACAATATCAAATAATATCTTTTTATTTACCCTATTTGTATTCTGTTACTCTTTTGAGGAGTACCTTTCTTTATTATAAATACACGCCCTATGTGTGGTAAATACATAAGGGAAATTAACCCTATATTCAACATGGTATCAAGAGCTTAAGGTCTCTTGGGATTTTTTTGGCTCGCCACTTGAACCTGCATTGTCGCCGCCTCCATCACCGCCACCGTCGCCACCGCCGTCCGCCGCCATCGTCATCGCCACCGCCATCGCCGCCATCGCCACCGCGCCGCCGTCGCCGCCATCGTCGCCCGCCATGCCGCCTGCCGCCACCGCCGTCCGCCGCCGCCGCCGCTGCGAGTAGCGGTTCGGACCGCCGAGCACGGGGTTTTGCTCACCTCCTCCGTGCGACCTCCACCGTGGAAGTTTCGCGGTCATCGGAGCGCCCACGCTCCCTCACGCGCCTCCCGAAGTCGCGCCACCTTCTCCCGTTCCGCCGCGCGTGGCGGCGCGTCTCGCCGCCGTTCAGGCCGCCGATCTTTGCGCCGGCATCGCCTCCTTCTCCTCTCTCTGGATCTGTCCTCGCTGCTCCAATCGGACCTCTTTGGTGTTTTAGGGTTTTTCTCTCTCTTCCTCCATGGCATCTTCCGCTGCCACTTCCAATTCTGAAGTTACCTCTGTCAGCTCCGGTGGGTCTGAGCAATCTGTTTTTACTAATTATGTCAATGTGAATTTACCCATTGATAAATTAGATGGTACGAATTATGCAACTTGGGCATCTGATATTAGACTTTGGCTTGAGAGTCAGGGGTATGTTGATCATCTTACTACCAAGGTAGATGATGTTCCTTCCAATGATCGTGTCCGTTGGAAGAAAGTTGATGCTCATATATGTATGGTTCTCAAGAATACCATCCAATCTTCTTTAAAACAAATTTTTCGATCGTATGACACATGTTATGACGTTTGGGAACAAGCCAAATTATTATACACCAATGACACTCAACACTCAACGTCTTTATGGTGTTTGTTACAATCTTTTTGATGTTATTGCTCCTCGAGATAAGGATCCTGTGGCGGATTATGTGGGTAAGATCCATGCTCTTCTCCATGAATTTAATGAGTTATTACCCCCTGCCTCGACTCCTGCCCAAGAATTAGAGCAACGATCAAAGTTTTTTATGGTTTTGATGTTACACGGACTTGCTGATAAATATGCCCCTGTTCGTGACCAGATTTTGGGTTCCCCTGTTACACCCAGTTTTACCGCTACCAGTTCCTCCCTTTTGCGGGTGCCATGTAAACCTCTCAATATTCCCCCTGTAGTTTCTAATGATTCATCTGCCTTGGCCTCTCACCGTGATGATCGTAATCGCTCTCACAAGCCAGGCAAAGGGCGTGTCAAGTGTGACCATTGTGGCAAACTAGGCCACAAAATTGACAAATGTTATGCTTTACATGGTTATCCTCGCCGATCTGCTGCAGTTGCTCAGACTGATTCTTCCGCACAATCCTCTGCTGTGGATCCTCCTTCGTCTGTACCTTCAGACAAATCTGCTATCTTCAATGATTTTCTTCAATGGTATGAGGATCGAAAGCCCTCCAGTTCCACTACTTCTGTTGCCCACACAGGTACATCTTTTGCTGGTCTAACTCGATCTCTTGATTGTGTTATCTCTTTTACCAAAACTTCTGTTTCCCTACAGGACCGGAGCTCGCAAAGAGTGATTGGCACCGGATGTGAGTCACATGGACTTTATTATCTTCAACCTTCTCCACATGTTGGCACAGTTATGGAGTCTCCTTCTCTCCTTCATGCTCAGCTTGGTCACCCCAGTCTGCGCAAATTACAGCAACTTGTTCCCAGCTTATCCCAGTTGTCCAATTTGGTGTGTGAGTCCTGTCAGTTAGGCAAACATAGTCGTACTTCCTTTTCTCGTAGTGTTTCCCAGACGTGCTTCATCCCCCTTTGCCTTAGTTCACTCGACATTTGGGGACCTAGTCGTGTTAAGTCTAATTTAGGTTTTCAATATTTTGTTACTTTTATTGATGATTTCTCTCGTTGTACTTGGTTATTTTTAATGAAAAATCGTTCCGAGTTGTTTTCTATATTCCAAAACTTTTATCATGAAATTAAAAATCAATTTGGTGTCTCTATTCAAACTTTTCGAAGTGATAATGGCCGTGAATATCTTTCAAACTCGTTTAAACAATTTATGGCTTCTCATGGCATTCTTCATCAAACTTCCTGTGCTTATACCCCTCAACAAAATGGGGTGGTCGAGCGCAAGAATAGACACCTTATTGAAACAACCCATACTCTTTTAATTCATGGTGAGGTTCCTCAACATTTTTGGGGTGATGCTTGTTCTTACTTGCTGTTATCTTATTAATCGTATGCCCTCTTCGGTTTTAGATAACAAAATTCCCCATTCTATTTTATTTCCTCATGACACTCTCCATCCTTTATCTCTCGAAGGTTTTTGGGTCTACCTGCTTTGTCCACAATTTTGATCCTGGTCATGATAAGTTATCTCCTCGATCACACAAATGTGTTTTCTTAGGATTTACTCGATCCCAAAAAGGATACAAGTGTTTTTCTCCTTCTCTTAATCGCTATTTTGTGTCTGCCGATGTCACCTTCAATGAGTGTTCCTTTTACTTTAAGGACCCTTCCCTACCCGCTGAGTCTCCATCTCGCTACAGTTCTCATTCTTGTTCTCATTGATCCTTATGTTGAGGACCATCCACCATTAGCCCCTCCTCCTCCACCACCCCTTCAGGTTTATAGTCGCAGACCTCGCCCACAACAGACGCCACATGACTCACTCCCAGTGCCAAATACTCGCCTCCTCCGGTTCCGTCCATAGAGTCCGACCTTCCTATTGCCCTTCGTAAAGGTACGCGTTCTACTCGTAATCCTTCTCCACATTATACTCGCTTTAAGTTATCATCGAATTTCTTCACCATTTTATACCTGTCTCTCGTCTATTTCTTTTGTGTCTATTCCTAAATCTGTCTCCGAAGCCTTAGCCCACCCTGGTTGGCGTCAGGCCATGCTAGATGAACTCGGTGCTCTTCGGACTAGTGGAACTCGGACGCTTGTCCCATTACCATCTGGAAAATCTGTTGTTGGTTGCGGGTGGGTCTTCGCTATCAAGGTTGGTCCCGATGGTACTATTGATCGCCTCAAAGCTCGCCTTGTAGCCAAAGGTTATACCCAAATTTTTGGGTTGGATTATGGTGATACTTTCTCTCCAAGTGGCAAAGATGGCTTCGTTCGTTTATTCATTGCCATGGTCGCTATTCAACAATGGCCTCTTTATCAATCGGATGTCAAAAATGCTTTCTTGAATGGCGATTTGCAAGAAGAGATTTATATGGAGCAACCTCCGGATTTGTTGCTCGGGGGAGTCTTCTGGATTGGTATGTCGTCTTCGCAAATCTTTATATGGCCTAAAACAGTCTCCTAGGGCCTGGTTTGGAAAATTTAGCGACGTTGTTCAACAATTTGGCATGACTAGAAGTGAGGCGAGACCACTCGAGTCTTTTATCGTCACTCGAATGTCTGGATGTATCTATTTGATAGTGTATGTCGATGACATTGTTCTTACAGGTAGTGACCATCATGGCATCTCTCGGATGAAACAACACCTTTGCCACCATTTTCAAACCAAAGATCTTGGCAAACTCGGATATTTCTTGGGTATTGAGGTAGCACAATCTACCGATGGCATTGTTATATCTCAAAAAAAGTATGCATTGGATATTTTGGAGGAAACTGGGTTGATGAATTCAAAGCCTGTTGACACACCCATGGATCCTAATACCAAACTCTTGCCAAATCGGGGGAGCCAATGTCGGATCCTGAACAAGTATAGAAGATTAGTTGGAAAATTAAATTATCTTACAGATTACTCGCCCCGACATTTCCTTTGCGATCAGTGTGGTGAGTCAATTCCTCAATTCTCCTTGTCAAGATCATTGGAATGCAGTCATCCGTATATTGAAGTACATCAAAAAGTCTCCTGGAAAAGGTTTGGTGTATGACTCCCATAATCATACAAGAGTTGTCTGCTATTCGGAT